GTATGGGATAATGTAACGTATAATATATAACATATGGGATGTTGCTGTTCCTAACCTTTTGTTTTTATCATACAAAAGATCTAATGAAATCTCCAAAGCCTAAGCAAAAACATTGGATTTTTAAATTCAAAAGTAATGAGCAAAATAATTCATTTTCAAAAGAATTTTTTGTGGAGGTAGGGTCTCTATCATATCCACATAACAGGTGGCCAACACAGGCCTGGTGTTCTGGAAAACATCAGTGTGACCAACAAAACAGCATATTGGAAACAGAGTTAAATTTGTTAAATTAGATGCATGCATGAAATTACTTGGAGAAGAAAGAGGATGTGTCAAAGTGCAAATGAAGAATAGGCCTATCACAATAATTACAATATAAACTTAGAGGTCAGCAAAAATGATCAAGGTCATGTCCATATATTGTATGATGCTGCCCTTGTGTTTACATGCACATTTGTTAAAATAGGAATGATAACATTCTAGCCAACATGATGTTAGAATAAACAACAGGGATTACCCAACCATTGGAAGACTTGGGCAGAGTACCTCAGTGTTTTTTACTGCACCTAAGCTGAACGAACAGTTATCAGTGGAGAACCCAGAGAACACCCAGACTGAAGCGGGGAGAACATGCAAACTCTGCACAGAAGGGCTCCCAGGCGGCTGGTGGGTTCGGACCTGGAGTCACTGCACTGCTGCTGTCAGATGTCAGAATATTGTTAAGAAATAAAGGTCACTGCTCTTTAAAATGTACTTGCATTATTATGCTATTGTATTATCACTGTATCAGCAGCATACAATGGCCTTGAAATGACAATAATATTGTTTATCACAATTATTTCTGTTATTACTGTTCAACATCAGTAGTTATTGTGACAGGCCTAACCTGCATCACACCAACAGCTGATCGAGTTCGGATCATGTTCTCATCACAAACAAACCGCTTCAGAGTTCCTCTGAGAGCCGACTGAGACCACCTCCTCTTAAGGGTTATGGTGTGGTTATTTTGGTCCATACCTAAGTGTGATTACTGCTTTCACACCTGCCCAAACAAATCACAATACTGGGAGAAAACAAACCACAGTCTGATTTAAACGCACTAAAAAGCACAGATTTGAAATCACCCTTAATCTGCGATGATCACCAAAACAAGTTCTCACCTGCTCCAGCAGAGTTGATATAAACTGTATTGTTTTGTAAAGCTCCATGTTACTACCCTACAGCACACAGAGAGAGGCACAGAAGAAGAAAACAGAGGACAGACGGGGATAAGAACATCAGGTCAAGCAGAGTTGTTCAGTAGTTAGTTACATTGTAGACAATAATTAATAAAGAGAGTTACTCTGACATGTAATGCTTTCTTTAAAGTGAGCCTATGTAACTTTTATTGAGCTTGTTGGCCATCACAAGATAATGAGTGATTTTAAAATGATGTATGATGATAAAATAAATAGAAGGAAGGTCACACATTCAGCAGATACAACTTATCCTAACTCACCCCCCACTAACTAGGTTTCTCCTGAGCTTCCAACCACAACTGAGCAAAATCGTATCTGATCAAAAATGAATTTTCGTTCTCAAAAGTTATTAAGTAATTTTCAGCTTCTGAAGGGTAGTACGACTCAAAAAGCAGTGGGTCTCATTCATGAAAAGTGAGTAAATCTGTGTGTGGATTTGCACATAAAAGCCTACGCTACTAAAAACCTACTCCGGATTCAGGAACGCCGCGGGAAACTCAGATTTGATCGTAAACACGTGTGTATGGTCATAAATGTCAATCTATCGTAAATTGACAACGCTCTCCCGATAATCAGCAATTAGCATAAATCCCCACCCACGAATAGTCAATGACCACCATATAAGGAGGTGTAGGTGCATCCTGTCGACCTGTCAGTCATGGCGCAAAGAAAGAAAGAGAGAGAAAGAAAAAAGAATTTTTCTAAAGCAGAGATCGAAATAATTTTGGGTGAAGTGGACTTAAGAAAAAACATTTTATTTTCTTCAGTTAGTAGTGGTGCGACAGGGACAGGCGAAGCGAAGGTCTGGAAGATGCTGTTAATTTTGTCTCCGTGGTACAAAGAACCATGTCAGAGGTGAAGCGCAGGCCTAAGGCAAAAAAACGCATAAGCACACACAAAAAACTACAGCAGCCTGTGGAGGAGGAGGCTCACAGTCACAACTATCTGCTGCAGACGAGCGCATCGCTGGCATAACTGGGGAGACCAAATTCCTGATGGAGACAGCGACATGCTTCCACTGGAGTCAACGTCATCAAACCCAGTTGATTTAGGCCTGCATAGATAATTCACAATCATGAACCTAATCTGGATCTTAAACCTGCTAATTGCCAACTAATTTAACGAATTGTGTTATATTTTTAATATTTTGTCATGTTTAGATTACGTGTTTCAAAGGCATCTGTGTATTGTGTACATAACAGAGCGCAATACGAATTAAATTTGTAATTTCCAATAGTGAAAAGCAATATTTATGTGCTTTACTAAATTTACACAAACACTACGAGTGGTCAGGAGCAGGAGTAGATTTTGTTAGTAGCTACGAAAAGATCGGAGCTACTAAAATATTGATGAATGCGGACGTGCATGTAAATTTCCGTCTACGAACAGTTTACACACAAATTCCTTTTGCTCACGTTTCATGAATGAGACCAAGTGTGTGCAGATGAATGGTGTTTGGCTTCACCCCTGTGCCGCTGCCAGCACCTGGACATCTGCCACTGGACAGGCAGGGATCTCCAGGGGAAGTCAAACACCGTTCATTTGCGCACAGTGCGATGACACAGAGCTGGTTGAATATCACAAGCCCTCTAGTGGCGGGATAGCGTGTTGCATATCTGACCAAGAACTGACTGAACTTCAGTATTGCTGCCAACCAGGAATTCTTGTGTGTTTCCAAAGTCAAGCAACCTGAAAAGCATAATCTACCATAATCTACCGTAATAGGAGCATTGGTGACTCGTAAAGGTAAAAAAAAACAAAAACGTTGTCTACCATAATGTTACTCTCTACATTTTGAAATGAACAAATTATAAGCATGACTTAATATGACCAAGACACCTAAAAGTAAAAATAAGGCCGTTTTCATGAACTTACAAGCAAGTGCATGTCAGACATACTGTAAGTGAATGGGTTTTCTGGTCGGAAAGGTTATGCGCTCATGCACCACTAGAGGGCGCGTAAGGCTTAGCTTCAGCATACCACAGGAGTCAATGGGAGTGTCGTCACTCTGGTATTGTAGGGTCCTAGTCTGAGCTGGTCCGATGCTATGTTATGATTGGCCAGTCTGTGTCGAAGGGCAGGACTTAGAGACTTAGCAAAGAGTCAATAGACAAATTAGAGCAGAATACACTGGAAGAAATAGTGAGGCCGCAGCACCAAAAAATCTGAGTGTACTAAAATGTGCCACAGTGTGTTTTATTGCTAATGAATTTGACATATGTTACAGGAAGAATAAAGTCCTCCTTTAAAAGTTGCATAGACTCACTTCAATGCTAAAATCACACCAGACTGTTAGTGGAGAATAAAGGGTAGAAACAGGCTTCTGACATTGCACCTGACTTATGTTTTGCAGGGTGTGTTAGCCACCTGCACTAATGTTAAAAGTATTATGTCCAGAGAGAGATAAAAATATAGTTCTTACATTCTGAATCTCCTCAGGTGACAGTAAACCCTCGTAAGGAGAAGACGTGCTGCTCAGCTCCATGTCGTCTGTATTTTCTTCCTCGGTTTCCTCGAGTCTTTCATCTGTGTCTCTGCTTTCACAGCCTCCCTCTGCAGCACCACCCTGTGTCTCTATCATTTGCCCCTCAGTCGTAACTTTTTCTCTTCTGTCCTCTTGTTCGTCATCATCCACTTCTGTTCTTTTAAACGTCTGTTTGGCCTCAAGCATCTCTTCGATTCCTAAATTTCTTTTTTCTTGTGCAACTGCATCGTTTCCCTGATGCCCATCTTCATGTCCGTGTGTAGCATCTTCACTCTCCTTAACATCTCCTCCACTTTGCTCACTTACATTTTCTCCTGGTCCTTCCGTCACAGGTGACTCTGGCATCACACTGTCGCCTTGACTCTGACACTCTTTAACACTTCCTGTCTCCTCTGATGCATTTGTGCTTTGTGTATCGACAGTGTTGTCCTCAAATCCACCTTCTCCTGCAGATGTTACATTCTCATGTGTCTGTGCTTCCTCTGGCTCTCTGTTTATGCTCCCATGTTCTGCAGCTTCATCCTTTAATGCCTCTACCTGCATGTCCTCCAAAGTCATCATCAACATGCTGCTGATTATTCTGTCAAACTCTACAGCTTCCTCCTCACTGTCTGCTGCTGTCTCTTGACTCTCTTCCTCTTCCTGTCTCTCTTCTCCTTCCTCTCTGTCTGGCCAACTCGCCTCTGGCTGATTCTCTTGTTGGACTTTTGTCTCGAGTAAGGATTTTATCTCCTCCGTTCTCTCTGCTTGCAACACTGTTTCTAACTCCATCTCTTGTCTGTCCTCTTTCAAAGGTTCTTCTCTTTCTTCACATATATGCCCCTTTACTATCCTTTCATCCTCGTCTGGTACTCTCTCCTCTGTGCCATCTCTCTTTTCCTCCATCTCTGTTTTATCTGGTTGGGAATCTTCAACTTTTTCATCACTGATGTCCGTCTCACTCTCCTCAGTTTCATCCCTTAAATCAAACACTTTCACATCCAAGTCTCCAAATGATTCTCTCCTCTCCTGTTTCTCTCCCACTGCCGCCTCCCTCTTAACTCGTCCTTCATTTTCTTCCTGCTCCATCTCTCCATCATTCTCTCCAACTCTATCCAGCTCATCCTCAGTGGAGGAAAACTGAGAAGCACTAACTAGGCTGGCCAAATCGCGCAGTTGAGCAGCCTGGGCGTCTTTTTCCGCCTGCAGTTCCCACAGCTTCTCTTCGTCTATCGCTTCCTCCCCCTCCTCACCTCTGCCTGCTCGGTCCAACTCGTCCTCCGTGGAGGAAAATTGTGTGGCGTTGGCTTCGTTAGCTAATCTGCACACTTTCACCGCCAGCTCCACCTCCTTCTCTTCTTCCACGACGCCAACTCTGTCCAGCTCATCCTCTGTGGAGGAGAACTGGTTGGCCCGGACTTCTTTTTCCAGCTGACAGAGTTTAGAAGCGAGTCTGTCTGTCGTTACCTCCTCCACATCTTCATCCCTGTCTCCCTCCCATTCTCCTTCACTCTGGCCAACTTTGACTAACTCGTCATCAGTAGACGAGAGGTAGGTGAGTCTGGACTGTGCGATGAGCCTGTATAATCTGCTCCTCATCTCTTCATCATCCACTTCCTCATCTTCCTCTGTTCTTCCTTCATCCCAGTCGATCTCCATCCTCCACAGCCTCTCCTCTTCTTCATCTCTGTCTTCACTTCCTCGTCTCTGTTCCTCCCTCTCTTCATCATTACCACCATCTCTCACTCTGCCATTAACTTCTTCTGAGGAGTCAGAAACTCGGCCTGCCAGCTGTTGTAGTTTTGACGTGAGCTCCTGCTCCATGTGATTGGCTCCATGTCCTGTGATGTCACTCTCAAAGTCAGAAGGTTTGGGAGTCATGGCTCCAGAGGTCAAAGTGTCAGGGGTTGCAGCATCAGATAGATTTTGGGAGTGGTCGTCGTTCTCGCTGTTATCCTGTGAATGTGAGAGATAATAGATTTAAGAATCTATGAAGGATGACTTCTTCTAATGTTTATAACATTTACATTTGGGCATCTGACATTTTCACTCATCACTAAATTCAGCAGTTGGATCCAATTGGACGTAGTTACATTCATATCTTTGAAATTCAGGCAGAATTTCTACGGTACAAAGGCAGATAAAAACAAGATGTCCTCACAAGCTATACAAACAATTTTATGTTTTTTTAAGGCTGTAGTTGTGGTGCTGTTGAACTGTATTATGTTACACTTAGAAGTGTTCCTAGTATTTTGTCCATCCCATTAATAAAACAAGTGGGCAGGTTTATTTAACAAAGATAATTAAGATTCACATATTGTTAATACTTTGGAACCAGAGTCAGAGAATATTTGCTGTTTTTGCTTGGTTAAACATTTGAAACCTGACCTTGATCTCATTCAAAAATCATAAATTTATATATGTAATGATAATAATTATAAATAACATTTTCCATAGCTTTATTTTTTTAATAATTTTCTAAATCTTTTTTTTTTTTTGCAATGTGTGGGACATTACTTACTAAATTGCTCATTGCCTTTTTCCCCCATGTTTTTGAAAGAAATTTGCTCAGGGTTCAAAGGTTTTAATAACTGCAAAAGGCATCTGAAAGCAGCACAAGAAAAGTGATGTTGCTCCTGGATTAAAAAAAAAAAATTTTTTCTAAAAGTGTTCCTGTTTTTACAGCTGTGTTGCTGCTATCTATCTACACTCAAAAAACAACTGTTACCCAGACTTTTAAGACATACTGTGCAGGATTTTCCTAAAAAAACAAAACAAAACTATGTATAGACTCATACAGAAATAATTAATCTGGGATTAGCTTTTACTTGCACTTCAGCTGGTGATCACATTTATAAACAGGAACCGACAATCCTGCATATTCATTCATTCATTCATTTTTTGTAACCACTTATCCTGTTAGGGGTCACGGGGGGCTGGAGCCTATCCCAGTTGACACTGGGCTAGAGGCAGGGTACACCCTGGACAGGTCGCAAGACTATCACAGGGCTGACACATAGAGACAGACAACCATTCACACTCACATTCACACCTACAGGCATACAGGCATGTCTTTGGACTGAGGGAGGAAGCCGGAGAAAACCCACGCTGACACGGGGAGAATATGCAAACTCTGCACAGAAGGGCTCCCCCACCAGAACCAGGAATCCTGCATTATAAACCTTTAAATGTGTGAACATTTGCAGGACATTTACAGCGTTCTAGGGCCTGACTTGGCAGTTTCATTTGATTATGTAAAGCCTACTTGGCTACAATTATTTAGATTATTTAAATTATTTTCTGCTGTGAAACACAGATCTGTTCATCTCATTTCATCTAATCAGTTTGCAGTTTTTGTTTCTTACCAGCAGAGAAGGAGAGGAGGACTGTTTTTTACTTCTCCTTTTCTTGCGTGATCTTCTGCCCATCTCTGGCTCTGTAGCCACATTGCTCTCCTCTTCCTCTCCTGCTCCTTCCACATTAAAGTTCACATCGGTGATGCTGGTCCTGCGGGAGGATGGTCGCCTGATCTCTGCAGGTACCTTCCTCTTAAAAACAGCCAGCAGAGGTTTGTTAGGCTCCCAGTTCCCCTCAGAGTCTGAAAACAGATCGTCTCTGCTGCCCGGCATCACTGGTGATGGTATCCTGTCAGGGGCGTCCTGCAGGTTGAAGTTAGAGTCTGTCATCTTCTTATGGATCTCCTGGAGGACGGCTCCCCAGGAGCTGTCGGCCTCTGGTTTGGTTTCGTTGTCAGAGCCCATGCCTTCGTAGGCGGACACCACCTCAGACTCCCTCTCCAAGGCACTGAAGACCAGGCTCTTCCTTCTGGTCAGCAGGCTGGGACGAGACAGCTGGGCACTCTGCAGGGCGATCCAGTTCCCGTCTGGGCTCTTCAGCACTGAGGACACACCTCCGCATGTGAGCACGCACACACAGACACACACACACACACAGACACACACACACACACACACACACACACACACACACACACACACACACACACACAAATACAGATATTGTGCAGACCAACGGAGACCATATGCCAAACACGCATACCACACAAAGTTAAATCATACATGCAGCAATAAAAACAAACACAGTGGAGGCAGGTTTTAGCTGACATTGATTATCTTATCAATTACAACTTACTCATATTACACAAGCTTGTGTTTCACTCTGTAATTTCCATTATCATATATACATATGGCATGTAGCTCTATATTGATGCTAAAAAAGCTTTGATAATTAATTAAATACATTTTTAAGCAAAAACTGAATATTCTGCTTGTTTTATTGAGACTAAATTGAATATTTTGACTACAAAAATATTATCAATCAAATGACTGGTGGGTTTAAAAAGTTGAAGAGCAACAAGATCTTACCAGAGTTGTCCAGCCGGTCTACACTCTTCCAGGTTGACATAGCCGACCCACCTCCGTCTTTCTTTAACGCCTGTGAGGAATCTTGCATCAGACCTGGAGGGTCGTTATCCAACAGTGAGAAGGCAGAGTGTGACCTCTGAGAGGAGACAGATGCCAAATTAAAAGGGACTGATGGTTGTGTCACAGTCACACTGGATGTCAGCAGTAAGATCAAGTCGACAGAGCATGTTGAGCAGTTTGACCAGCAGAGGTCAGCACCACATACAGATGAGATTTGTAGTGCAGCAGACACATCAGTCTGTCTTCTCAGTGGTGGAAGAAAATCAAATCATCTGTCACTTAAGTAAAAGCAACAACCACAGAATGTAAAGACTCTTCATCTTAAGTCAGACTTCAGTATATGTGTAATCAGCAAAATGTACTTCAGTAAAAGTTCTCAGTCTGCAGAAAAATGGCTGCTGTGACTGATATATGGGCTTATATCTGACGTAAGATTGTTTATGATGCATTAATGTGTAAAGCATTTTACAGCTGTACAGTAGCTGCTTGACATTAGTTTAGTCCAGTGGTTTTTAACCTATGAGTCGGAGTTCCTCTTAAGGGTCATTAGATAATCTGTGGGGCTGTAAGAGAACTGATGGAACACAAAAAAAGAAAAAAATAAATTCTGTTGCACAAATTTGTTGGACTTTTTTTCCAATCTTTGCTGTTTAAATAACATAGGGGAGAGCTGGGTTGGTTGGGACATGCTTACATTGACATGAAATAACCTTCCATTACTCAGACTACTTTAACAGTATTGATAATAATTTGGTCCCTCATCAGGTGTCTACTACAATTCATCAAGTTTTTTTAGAGCTCAACCCAAACATCAAAGGAACAATGTTGTTAAAAGTAAAAGGAGCGCATTGTCCTCAGTGGGTAGAGTCGGTTGGGACATATTGTTCTAGGCTAAACAAATGTCTTTTAAATTTTAAAAAAACTGCAGTTTAAATTTGAACACCTTATGTTTACAGTGACACTTGCTTACACATTTCTTCGAGAAAGAGGAAATGTTTGTAGTGTCATTATTTTTTCATAAATTCCCATATGCAAGACAGGAGTTTTGAAAGTGGGAAAAAAGGGTTTCTGACTGACTGCCAGTTCAGTGAACATTCACTCAAAGCCTTCACAGATTAGAGAAAACAAAAATTCAGACACCTAACACAACTGACAGGCCAGAAAATCTACACACTGCAGATTTTAAAAAAAAGTGAATAAAATGTGAGATTAAGGTTGAAAGTGAGAGGGTGAAGCTGAGTATGAACATGGTGAATGGCATGGGCATAGTTCAGGAGCATTTTAGTCAAACAAAACTTTATTTCCATTGCAATTTGATATTTGGCGGTGTGGCTCTGTTCTGTGGCCTCCCTGCCCTTCCATGCGCCTACATGGAAAGCCTAAGGCAGGGAGAGCAGCAGCAAAGACCCCCCCAGGTATAGAACAGAGGCAGCATCAATGACAAACAGAAATGACATTGATAAGTCAGACACAGCATGAAAAGGAGGAGCTGGGGTCGAGGCGGGTTGCAAAGCGACTTGCAGAGGAAGCAGCAACAGTAGGCAGGTCACAGCAGTTTAAATAGGGCGCCCTGAATGAGATTCACCAATTGGTTGCATAGAAAGGAATCATGTGATCTATTAGCATCTATTACCTGTTTGGGCTTGTAACAGTTATCTGAATCATCTTTTTTCTGCTAACAACTCAAAAACATCTGAACTCATTGCCATATTCTTTTTTTTTTTGTAAATGGTCTTGTGCTAAAAGGATTGGCAACCACTGGTTTAATTTTTAATAATAAATAAAAGTACAGTAGTTGAGTAAATGTACTTGTCACCACTGTCTCTTTCTCGTACATCTATTGTCCCATAAAACTTAAGTGGTTGTGACGTTTTTACCCAGAGGCCTGACTCGTGTTTAAGGGAGCCGGAGGCTTGATCACAGCCGGACTGATGATGATGATGATGATGAGGGTCAGTGTTGTGCTCAAGTGGCCAGACCTGATCATACTCAGCCCTCATCTCAGCCAAAGTCTTCCTCCTGCTAATAATCTAAGAGAGACAGAGACATGATTAGTACTGTACATGGCTGTGATCACAGATCACATCTGCTGGTTTTAATGGTTTTGGTTTAATATGTGCAGAAGGTAGAAATCCCCCTGGCTGACTGACATTTGAGTATGAAGAAATGGCTTTCCACTCACAGTAAATCAACCTAGTCACACACTGCAGTACAAACCATCTGTTACTGTACAAAGTGAGTGTTCGCAGCTCAGAGAGCAAAATCTTTATTTTTTATTATTTACTTTTTGCACGATAGTTTTGGCCAGTTCCTCGATGAGCTCTCTTCTGTGCTCCCGCAGATAGTGCGCCTCATTCTGCTTCTCCTGGTTAACAAACACACGAATAAAAAAGCTAGTCAGCACCACACACACACACACACACACACACACACACACACACACACACACACACTGTATAAGCTGATTACTCCTCTGAACATACATTCTAAATATACATATTTTCTGTACTCAGTTCAAAAGCTTTAGGATACTTTAACAGATTAGTGAGAAGTAAATCTCATCTTACATACAGCAGTGTTTCAGGAAGAAACGTACTTTGGGATTTAAGCTATAGTTTCGGGGTTATAAATAATTAAAGAATTTTTGAAGTTGTGGATGCCCAGTTGAAGACAGGCATTACACTTCTTTAGCCACCTTGAAAATCTTATGAGAAATACACCAAAGTGCAGAGATTATTTGCAATATGGGCCATCTTGTTTGTAGTTGTTCTGTGACTCTTTATAGTAATGGACATGTGCTCGCCTACAGGAAAAAATATACTACCAATACACACATACATAATACATTTCAATTCAAACAGCGACCTTACTGCTAATTTGCTTTGCTCCGATCTCCAATAGCTGCCTGTTCTGAGCAGCTGCTCCGAGTTATTCCTTCAGACAAAACGGAATGTGAAGTAGTGAAGCTGATACAGTAATGAGTGGGCATGTATGAATATGTGTGTGTATTTTTACTGATGGTTATTGGTTGGTTAATTCAGTGATCTTCCACTGTCAATCAAAACCAAAGAAGTTCTACTGCCGACAGTAATGCTTTTAAATAGCAGTTATGAGCAACTTTCAGATTTGTAGCTCTATCCATGGGCAGCACGGGTGTGATGTTTTGATAGCGTGTTATGCTGGCAACTCAGTGCGGGAGATTTTAAACGTAGCTATTAGGAGTTAGCAGCTAACTCAGAGAAGACGAACAGCTGCAAATTGGGAAAACTGGGGTCCAGGAGCTCCTTACCCTCCAAACAGAGGACAAGATCAGCCGCCATATAATGGAAATTATTGTTAGTACCATGTTATGCCACTGTCATTGTTTAGAAAGTGCTGCCAACATGTAGGTTATATGTCACACCAGAGGCAGACTCTGTTGTGGTTACATGTCATACCCGTGATGCCTCTTCTGATTCTGGCATGATGTCGAAAATCACACACAGGAGCAGCATGATGCCACTGTTGTTTGGTTCCGTGTAAAAACGCAAAAGCGGCATGATGAAGTGACTTCTAAGCGGCCCTATAGCGTGATCTCTCCTTCAAGTGGGATGTTCGTGTACAAACCCTCTACATTTAACAGGACTCAACAATAAGGATTGCGAAATTGTCAAGGGCAAGTAAAATACCACGTTGGCCTAATAAATCTAGCAACACACTTGCCGTATCAGGAAAGTGGTAAAAAAGAATTTAACACCAATTTTTTTTCTGCAGCTGATGATGGAAGTAGCTACGACATGAGCCATCTTGCTTCCTTGTCATCTCTGATGAGAGCTGCACATGTGCAGTACGGATAAAGCACTTGCGAGAAAATGGCACTGGGTAAAGACAAAGTTTAGCGAGCATTTTAATTATCCTGAAAACAGGAGTTCAGTTGGGAGAGTTTTTGGCAGAGTTTTTGTGTAGGAAAAGTAACAGTTTTATGTAAAGCCAATGATCTGCATTATTTTGCTTTTTATATGTTGGCCTAACAATAACCCAGACGTTTGTCTTACACTGTAGTATTAAACTGACATTTGGATTGCAGCATAATCCCGATGGCTTTCCATAATCTGACTCAAACTGACTCAAAAGAGAAAAAGCAGAGAAGTCAGATTAAGGAGGAACTTGATAAAAAGGACTGTGGAGGATCAAAGTATTGATTGAAGACCAATGAAAAGTAACATACATGACATAACTGTCTGAATATCATTTGCAGGAAAAGGTGTGAATTAAATGTCAAAGAAAACAAAATGTAGAGTATTTTTGGGGACAGAAATGTAAAGACAGAGTGTAGATAAGCAATCCAATAATACATGTATGATGACAGAGTATTCATAAGAAATGAGGAGCATAAATAACCTGATTGGTAGTGTCAAACTCAGCCTTGGAAATGGCCTCGTCTATGGCCTCCTCTGCCACCCGCAAGGCCACAGAGAGTGTCTCTGCCATGCTGTGCTCTGAACACAAAGAAACACAATAATGACTTGTATTGTCGTCACTTGAATGACCCATGCAACAGAATCAAAATCAAAGCAGAAACACAAGGGGGAGTAATTACATCCTTTTCAGTTTAATTCTGTTTTCAAGCCGTGTGTTACTAATCTGTTTTCACTACAGACAGAGACGTGACCATCAGGCTGCCGCAGCCTCTCATTCATGTTTGCAGTCACTTATCCTGTTAGTGCAGTGAACTGAGAGAGTGAGGAGAAGTGAGGGCAGGGCAGGACAGCGAACGAGAGCAGAGATGACTGAAAACATGGCTGTTTGAGATGCCAAAAGACCGCAACAAGAATGGAGATCAAAATCCATCTCTGCACTGTTTTATCTGCTGTAAAGCATTAGATTCATGGCAGCTGGGAACAAATATGAGTTTATGGATTTATGAGGGGATTACAATGACGCAAAAATAACCTTGAACTGGATAATGTGGCCACAGAGGGCCAGTTGCTGCGACTTTCTTATGGAGATTGAATTAAGCACTCACTGTTACGAGGCTGAATTACCAACTGGGCAACTAGGGCAACTTCCCCAGGGCCCTAAAGATGACAGGTTCAATGATATTAGATTAAATAAACTGACCCATGACAACTTCTGAATTTATACCTCAATTTTGAAGCCCTGTGTCAAAATCGAGTTTTAACAGACCAGTTTAACATATTGGGAAATACCCTCACCCCTTCTAGCCCTTACCCTTTGAGTTCACTTGCTTTGGTCCGAATCAGGGACTAATTTTGTTACAAAGTTATATAATTGCCTAGAGTTGGTTCGTGTTCTCACGGCAGCATTTACAAGCAGACCAGACCAAATGCCTGTGCGAGAAAGCTGCTCTTGATTGGTCAGAATTTCCATGTGGGAAAAATCCAGGAAGTAAACAAAACACTGAAGAAGAGTACACTTGCAAGATAAATGCGACACTGTCTAATGTCACAAAGGAGGGACAACTACGCAGGTTGATTTTAGCGCTGGTCATCGTGGACTATATTGCTGTCATTGTTCATTTTAGTCAAACCATACAGTTTGAAAACGAGGCGCGGCTCCAACTAGAAAACAATATTTTGATGCACTGGATGTGCTGAATGTGCATATTAAGGCAGTACAGGAGGAGATGCACATTAATAATCCTCCAGGACTGTAACATGCTCATGTTTAACACAAACAATGCGTAATGTGACTACAGCTGGTTCAGATCGAGGATGTTCTGTTGTCTCATTTAGCCTCATGTTAGCAACCGCCTTTTTAAGACACCTTGAATCTTTAAAATTCACAGTTGGGGTATTTACTGACTTATTTTATGTCATAGAACAAAATATGAATGTCTCTTAAGCTTGTGGTAACCACAGACCTAGTTTCAGGCATCTAACAAAAAACCTATTCAAAAAACGTCAAGACAAGGGAACTGGTAGTGCTAAAATGCTAACTCATTTCCAGGTTTTAGGACTCATTCCTGCGCCACTCTATGCACAGCTCTTTATTTGACCTGGGGTCCCTTCAAGAGTTAATCTGGCTGTTGTACTTAAGAGTATTAGCTGTACCACTTCAGTACACAAATAGGCCTACTACAACTATAACTAGTACCACTGATAGAGCTACAACTACTGCTTTTAGTGATACAGTATATAAAATGCTACCAGGGTACTGCTTCTGCACACCAGCTTCTGAGTGGAGCTACAAGTATGATTACCTCTCTTGCTACAGTATTATTACTACAAGGTACTTTAATGGGCTCAAGCACTGCTGTCACAATTGCTGCCATCACTGGTACAGTACCACTTACATGTGATATAGTGTATGTAACGCACAAAACCTGAGTTTCACATGCAGATAAAGCCTGTTAGACAAGGATAAAGTTCTTTGTTCTGCTATTTGATGCACAATTTAATTTAAATGTTGGATCTATACATGTTATCTGAATATGCAGAGGTATATAGGATTGTGTTAAACCTGAGGTTCTTCTGGTTTTGGTTACATGTTACAAGATGTCTTGCAGGAATGAAAATTGCAAAATTGTATTAATTACAAAAACAAATGTACAAAATGCTTCACATGAATTAGCGTACAAAACCATTATTAAAACATGTCTGCACCTTCAGTTTGTCTGTAGAAGGTTGAGTCGCTCCCACAGACGCTGCCCTCATTGCAGATACTATCCTCGTAGGCGCTGCCCTCTGCACACACAAACACACACCGACAGAGAAAGATGTTTAAATGTTCATAAAAAGACAGACACAGTAGATTCACATGGGATCTAGATCAGTGTTGTTTTAATCACATGGGACATTATGTAAAAAAGATGAATTAATAAATACAAAAAGCTAATTATGCTTCTTCTGTTTTATTTGGTCATTCATTTTTAGTGTCATGGATGTAGCATATAGCATCAATTTAATATCTCAACCATCAACATTATGTTGTCTCTAATAACAGAAAAATGCCAGTAAAGATAACTACTTTGCATAAGTCATTCATGCAGAAATCTGAAATGAATTGCCCCTAATGAGAATTTTATTTTTCTCTCATTAGAGCCCAAGTGTTTTATGTGTTTTCTCTTCAACACTGCAATATATCTATTTTTACATAAATTGGGGTGGAAGAGCCATGGGATTTATTCCTCAATTGCCTTCACTCTACTTAGGAGAAATTAGCCGACTTATCCCCTGTGTTGGGTACAGAATTCTAACAGGCTCTCTAATCTACATTTTATGGATTTTGTAAGTGCTGGAGAGATGATTCCCACTGATGACAATATTTGGATTAGTTGTTACAGAAGGTAATCTTCTGAATCATACATTAAACGCCTTTCTGTCTCTGATTTTTGGACAACTGAGTCTTCTTAAGAGGAAGGATTAAACACTTCCCATCTGCACTGAGTGGAGTTTGTGCAGTTAGAGAATGTTAGGTTTACTCGAAGAGGATCTTAGTTTAATACAGCCTGGCATACTGCATACTCTGCACAAAGTCAAACATGTTTTCAGTGAGTGTTGGCCTCTATCAGGGCTGTCCCATGTCAGTGATTCTGTTTGTGATAATTAAGGAAAAGATCTCAAGGCACAGCTGCGGCGGGGGGGGGGCATCCAGTTTGGTGAACTCAGAATTTCATCTCTGCTCTTTGCAGATGATGTGGTTCTGTTGGCGCCATCACACCATGACCTCCACCATGACCTCAAGTGATTTGAAGCCAAGTGTGAAGCGGCCAGGGTGAGAGTCAGCACCTCCAAGTCTGAGACCATGGGTCCCTGCTGGAAAATGCTGGATTGCACCTTCTGGGTTGGGCAAGAGTTGCTGCCTCAAGTGAAGGAGTTCAAATATCTCGGGGTCTTGCTCATGTGTGAGATGGATCAGCTGTTAAGTGAAGTGTCAGTACTGATGCAGGTGTTGCACTGGATCATTGTGGTGAAGACAGAGCTGAGCCATAAATCAAAGCTCTCCATTTACTGGTTCATATACATCCCAACCCTCACCTATGGTCATGAGCTCTGGGTAGCGACCGAAAGAATGAGATTGCAGATACAAGCTTCTGAAGTGAGTTTCCTCCGTAGGGTGGCTGGGTTCAGCCTTAGAGATAAGGTGAGGTGCTCAGAAACCTGGAGGGAGCTTGGAGTAGAGCCACTGCTCCCTTGCGTCAAAAGGGGCCAGTTGAGGTTGTTCAGGCATCTGATCAGGATGCATCTTGTTAGAGTTTTTTTTTCTGCACATTCAACTGGTAGGAGGCCCCGGGGCAGACCCAGGACATGCTGGAGGGATTATATATCTCATCTGGCCTGGAAACGACTCAGGATCCCCTAGGAGGAACTGGAAAGTGTCACTGGGTAGAGGGACGTCTGGAATACCCTGCTTAGCCTGCTGTCCCCTGGTACCCGGCCCCAGATAAGCGGATGAAATTGGATGAATGGAAGACCTGGCAGCCATTCATCACTCATGCTGGATAATACATTGTTATACTTATGTGTACTTATATAATTATTGATCTATGCTTTCTATCGGTCTGATTAAAGATAAAAATAAAGAAGAAATGAACCATCTAAAAAAGTTCAGATGTATGCTAAGTTTTGAAAATTAGCAATGCCTATATTATTACTGAGTTGTTTGACCTTGCTTTTTTCTTTTTTACTGTGACGGTGAACTTGAGTGCTTTGAAAGGCACCTATTAATAAAATGCATTATTACTTTTAATGCAAGTAGTGTCCTGTAAGCCCATGAGGGCTGGGCACCTTTGGGTTTATGATACTTGAATACAATATTTTCACTCCTTTAAAATCTTGCATGTAGTTTGTAGGTGGATTTTTGTAATGTTTTAGTTTAGTTTTAGCAAAAGTGAACTAATTGATTGACAAATATGAGACATTTCTCCCCCACACTTTTGTTTCCTTTGTTGCTTTTGGGTATTTCTGGTCGATTCCATTTGTATTTTATTTCATTTCATCTAATTCATCAATTTTATTGTTTTTAACCACAATGCTAATGCATTTCTTTGCCATTTAAAAAACTTTGAAAGGCTTCTGTGTTGTGTGACACATACTGTAAATCAAGCTGCCTCGTCTGCAAATTCACCCCCAAACAACAATTAAAAATGGAATTAACAAATTATGAAAATGCCCAAGCTGAAGACATATCTGTGCTGTGAATAACTGAAAACTTCATAAAAAAGATCCTCACCTTTTAAAATATAAGAGTTTGAGATTTTAACTACATGACTTGATTTTAGAGAGTTGGTGACGGAGCAGCGGAGAGTTCAGTCACCCTGCAGATAGTTTCTCCTTCCAACTCTGAGCCCTGAGCTCTTTTCACATCATGTAAACATTCATGCAACAATGCAGCCATTTGTGGTTATATAAGTGTATTAGAGTGGCCTCGCGTGTGGTATTACCAGGCGACCTGATCTGTGGCGCCAGTTCAGAGGTACAGTAGAGTACACGAGGTCACTTCCAATCATTTTAAGGGACAAAGAGAGGACTTACACCGAGTGGTATGAAGTGTAGATTATTTTGTAAATGCAGAGAGCACTCTGCTCTTTATTGCTAAAAAAAAACTTCAGGCAAGCATAAGTCTGTGGATATTCTCATTTATCCAGGTCAATTCCATTCTGGCAACAATTAAATTGTAGGCAACTGGACTTAGATTTTGTCTAGAAGACGTTTCGCCTCTTATCCAAGCGGCTTCATCAGTTCTCAATGCATCAGTCTGACTAGTCCTCACTAGTCTGACAGGCAAGCATGAGAATCACTGATGACAGATATCCTGTAAATTCGGACAAAATGACGTATGTTAGGGACTGCAGCATGGACTTTGTTTCTGTTTCCCCCAGCATTTGTGTGTGTGTGTGTGTGTGTGTGTGTGTGTGTGTGTGTGTGTGTGTGTGAGTGAGTGCACGCAGACATCTGTGTTGTAACATCTAATGAGTCAGGACACATTTGGCTGCAGCAGGGACATGAAAAAGACTCATGACCCACACAGTTTCCTCCATAACAGCAGCTAAAAGGTCACAGTGACCCTGGAGGCACCACAAGACCCTCAGGAGGGTGAACTGACAGTTCACTGCTATATATATATGTATATATATATGAGTGTATGTCACTGCATTATCTTAATACATAATAAACACAATACTAATATGATGTACATCAAGAATGTACACTTTCTAGGTTGATTTTTGAAAATGATTCACATATTTTTAAAACTACAAACACAATCTCACGGAGATCATCAAGAGCATGACAACATGTGATGTCTAACGTCACAATGTCAGCCCTACAACACACTCTAAATTGTAAATCTTTGTAACACCTAATGTGCAACAATCTCTGCTGGACTTACACTAAATTGTACAGTAAAACATAAACTCAGTAGAGTAACCCTCTCATGTAATCAATCTACCTTTTATCACAGTAATTAGTATCTAGCTACTAAAATGTTCAGGCAGAGGGTACCGTCAGCAAATAGTTTGTTGGGCACAGGGAAACAGAGATCTGTGTGGCTACATTAGACCCTAAAAAAGAGGGTCGATCATGGGGAGTACCACCAGTTGGTCCAGGAGCTTCGCCTCCATGATGGTTTTTCCCCAGGCATATTTTAGGATGACTTTGGGGCAGTCTGACAACCTGCCTGTCTATCGTTGGGCCGTATAGCTCTGGGTATCCAGCAACCGCTACCACCAGTTTCTCCTCCATTGTTTACCAACTGTAAACCTGTTGTCGTGACCACCACAGAAGTCCGCTTCTCAAATCACCCAATTGGACAACGGGAAAAAAGCAGAGATGATATGGGCCACTTTTCCTCTTTGAGTTGAAGTTTTTTGCTTGTTTTGGAGTTCAAAGCACTCTGGCAACAACGCCAGGTGCCTAGAGCGCAGAAACGCGAGGCTCCACCAGCTGCTAAAACAATTTCTGTGTGATTGGGGCCAACTTCGTCTCAGTGCGAAGCCCCTAAATTTTTTATTTTGTGTGACAAGATAATAATCTTGCAGGAACAAGTTATTATCTTGTGGGAACAGATTTTTATCTTTTGCAGACAAGAAAATAACTTGTCATCACAAAATAATGAACTTGTGCAAAAAAAAAATAAAAAAAATAAAATAACTTTGAGGAATTTAGGAGCTCTGTACTACAGCTAATGACCAAAAACTAATGACGTTCCCATCAGCCTCAGGGGCATTGTAGCCTACTGTTTTGTGCAAATTACCAAATGTTAGCATGCTGTTACACAAACTAATAAGGTGAACATGGTCAGTATTATGTCTGCCAAACATCAGCATGTTAATGTTGCCATTGTGAACATGTTGGCATGCAGATGTTACCATTTTGCTCAGTTTGCAGAGTTTCGCTGAGTTTGAGTACAGCTTCACAGAGCTGCTAGCATGTTTGTAGACATTTGGGCTTGTGTTTCTCCGTCTCTCTGTGCTGTTGATGCAAGTTTATTTTATCTTAATAAAAAATAAAGGAGGAAATGGTTAAAGAACAAGTTCACTGAGACTTTCATTAATACCAAACAAAATATTTATTTATATATTTAGCTTCTTTCCAAAAACTGTGGCACTACTGAATTCAGACATCTCCAGTCTGACAAGACTGATGAGTTGTCATCAATGAAGTACACGCAATATTTACTTTCATGTCACCCAGAGCTACTGATGATTGGCAGTATTTCTATTTCAACCACACATCATTTAACACCCCAAAACACATCACTCTGTTTCTGTCACACTGCATCTTCACTGAACTTTTGCTGCTGCTTCTGCATCCTCACTGGTTGTATGTTTATCATTTTTGCAATTTTGTCGTCAAATGCCTGTATTTCTACACTGCATGTACAATAGGCATCAAGTAATGCTGACTGTACTGTGTTCTCCTCCTCAGGGTCACTTTGTTATTTAGCTTTACTCTTTAGAGGAAGACATCTCTGAGCACTGTTGCTGGGTTGTGGCAGTGTGTCTTGAGGGGGAAATGTTTCACTGCGACACAAAGCTCTCACAAGATGATGCCTCGACCCACAGCTATTGGTCCCCAAATGTCAGCTCTATTAATTCTGATGCTATTCATGCAGGTTGCATTGTTTCTTATGCAAAGTAACATCAGCAGAGCTTTCCATGAGTCAGACTATGCAGATGCAGATTTGGCAGCTGAGTAAACACTGTTGAATTTCCAGTGCAGGTCAGTCATAAACAAATTAAAATGTATGATACGGAGTGTGTGTGTGCGCAGAATGAAAACAGTAAGCCAGAACGAGACGCTGAGCGGTGGCCCGATGCCAGCCCACATCAGTCCTCCTCCCACAGGGGTCACAGCTCTGCATCATCTGCAGCCAGTGACCTCTCCTCCACAAAACACTCATAATTCTCTAAATCCCTTGTCTGTTAAATCAGATCAGAGACTCTGGAGTAATGGTCCAGAGATGCACTCCTCCGCTTGTACCACTCTGTGCCGTACATGCTGTAGCATATGCTGCTGGATGAACAGTCCTATTCAAAGCACTGTATAGTACTATACATACATTTTCAACACAGCATGGCTGGCTCCAGTAAAGCTTCTTACCTCCCTGTGTGTGTTACGTGTTTCACATGAAGATGTGCAGGACTGCTTAAGGAAATACACCACTCTATAGCATGGGCGAATTATGAGACAAGAGGCCCCTGAGGACAAATATGCAAAGGGCCCATGTACCTCTCCTACACAGGGGCAATACACACAGACTGTGGTGGTTTTGTGTCTTTTTGTAGTCATTTGGGTCAATTTAAGGGTAATTATTGAGGTTATTGGTGTTTTTGAGGTAATTTTGTGTCACTTTTTCGTATTTTTGCAGTTCCTTTGCATCTCTTTATGTTTTTGTGTCTCTTTATGATCATTTTAAGTTTCTTCCAGGTTGGTACTAGTTAATTTAACATCTGACATTTTGCAAGATAAGGTCAGAGATCCCCTGACACTTTGGGCACCTGGGTTTATA